AGATAGATAGATAGATAGATAGATAGATAGATAGATAGATAGATAGATAGATAGATAGATAGATAGATAGATAGATAGATAGAATTTACTTTTCATTTTTTCTAAATCTGAGGAAAGTTTCATATAAAATTGTCTAAAGGATTCCAAATATTGCCTTTAGCACACTAAAATAATGTCGATACTTCTAACTTAAACTAAAATGAAGTATTTTTAACCTGATTAAATATTACTAAGAACAAATATGTTGTTGAACAACATACACTACATTACAACATGATGTATGTTCATTTCTGTGTTATATTGGTCCTTATAAAGCCTTATAAAGTGTAGAGTAAATAAATGTTTTGGCAGGAAATTGTGTTGGTTGAAGCAGCAGAAGGGGAAGCAGGATCCCTCATAGAAACCTTCCTGCAGAAGACGGATGAACCACACAGCTGCATGAGTAGCAGTGAAATCATCTAAATTTAATAATCTTATATAGAAATAATCTTAGAGTGAAAATATTCAACTCAATAGTGCTTACATTCTCAGCAGAAATAAAAATCTGAAAAAGTACTAAATCTTAACCCTAGCTCCAGATTATTGAACTTTTTCTACAAATGTATTTTTTCCTTAGATTTCTCAAATTAAAACAGAGTATGTCATTCGTTGACAGTTGACAAGCTACATTAAAACGTTTCTTTCTCATGTGCACATGCTGAGGTATCCTGTGTGGGTATGCAAAGCACCACTGCTTACACCTGATCCAGTGGATCAGCTGAATTAAACATATCGATTGCAGGTTCACTGGCCGCTGAGGCACAGAGAGCAGAATCTGACCCACAGCCATGCAGCAAATAGGTGCAAAGACCCCAGGGTTAGTGTTTGGGGTCAGTCTGCCTCGTTTAGCACATACATATAGCATTTGATATGTCTGCAATGTTATTTTAACCAAAATAGCTTCTTAGCATATATTTCAGTGCCTCGGAAAAGGAGTCATATGCATTGAAACCTTTCCACATTTCCAACCACAAACACAGGATTCTAATGTTTTATATTGGATTTCTCGCAAGTACAAACATGGAAAGTTGTAGTTTTGGCCTTAGGGTCTTTGACCTATGAGGATGATTTCCTGTCCTTGTCAAACCTCTTTTTTGCAACCTCTAAATTTTGCACTGTATTCAACTCATTCTACAAGTATCCTTCCATCACCTCTGACCAGTTTGCTCTTCTCTGCTGCAAAAATACATCTCCCAACATTTAGATGTTTTATAGCTGGGATGTACAGCGTTCTTTATCTGCCACACTTCCAATGTTACTTATAAGTATTAATATAAAGAGGGGTCAATACATATAAAACCTGTGGTAATCAGACTTTTATTCCCAAATATACCGTAACATTAAAATCATTATTTATGCTGCTTTTTGTTTCTCTATAAGTAAAATATGTTAAGATACTTGAGTTTGCAATAACAACATGTGGAAAGGTTGAACGGATGTGAATACTTCAGGATTGAACTATGCATCATAAGATTGAGGTGAAAATCAGCGTTCATGTGCTTCTCTGTAAAGCACTGAAAACAGAACCCTGAGCTGCCAGTCTAAAAGTAGCTGAGTCAACTGGATGTTAAACAGCCATCGATGCTCCCAGTGCTGCCGGGGATGCCGCTCTCTATTGTAATGGCTGGGCTCACTTGCATGGAGGTAACACAATACACCGAGAGCAACATCTAGAACGTCGAGGAAAATAGCTGTCATGTTGAGAGACCAGAGAGTCCGATGAATGCATGAGACCAATGAGTCAACTGCCTATTTTTAATGTCCATAAATGCTACAGCCTGATAGGAATAGGACTTAGCTTTAACTAATTTCTCTGAAATGTTTTATAACCTTAGCAGAGAAAACCCTGATCCCACTAATAATTCATGACAAACTGGACTTTATTTACTGAATGCACACAAAACAGCTGTTGGTTTATGTCTTTAACCCAAATGCTGGGTTCATGATTTGGGAGCAGAATCTTGGTACCTTTAAACTGATAGAGTCTCATGGTTTTCATATACAGAGATACAACAACCAGACTTTACAGAGACCATCCTACAGGTTTACGCAACAGTTTTTAAGATGGTTAAAATTATGCTGCATGGTAATATATATAAGAAGGAATTGTTTGCTGATAATATTAGCTGTTTATCTACTAGCTAGTAGCACATGCTAGTGCTAATGATGTTGAATATTCCCATATATATATATATATATATAAAAGCAAAAACTAAAGTGTGATATTTCAACCTAAATACTTTGCAGTGTTTATGTATTAAGGAGTTAGGGGTTGTTCTTTCATTTCACTCTCTGGAGGAATAGTTGCTAACATGATTTAACCTTTGACCTTTAATTATTTGCTGTGAAGTTACTTTTTCCTGGCAAAAAAACAAGAACCTATTTCCAGAGGTGTATGGCAATTACCAAAATATGATGTTTTGTTATGACTTTAACAGTTATTAACCTCTTATGAACTATACAGGTAGAAACTCTGACAACCTTGGCCAACAGCAAATTATTCAGATTCAGGGATTTAAAGCTGAAATACACACGTGTTCCATTCTGAATTAAATAAGCCACCAGTTTGTGCAAATCTAAGTTTTTCAGGGAGTTTATTCCATAGTATTTTTATTCATTAGTATATTCTCAGTCTTATATTTCCCGTAATACATATCTGCCTTGCATGCAGCATCTTAGTCAGACCATCAGTGTAAAAGAGAATCAGTTTTCAATTGACCTATCTGGTTAGAGAAATTATATAAAGCAACTAAAAGCTGCTTTATTTAGTTTAGGTCTTGTTTTTTCAACACTTAGCAAGCAGGTCTCTGTTGCAGCAGTAATACTGTAGAAAAAGTTTTACTATCTTACTTTTCATCATCTTTTTGCCAATTAACCTTGCTTAAAAAAAAAAATCTAGATGTCATGAATATGCAGAAATTCCCTCATGTTTCTGCGTTACGGAAAGTGAATGTAATGCATCTTCCGGACTGATCTGGAAATAAGGAGATTAAATTTGGTTTAGAACCCTGAAACTTGTTTAACCCCCTGCTTAAACATATTTCCAACTGCATCAATAAATATAGATATTTAGCATGAAAATGAGCCAAATTAGACAAAGATCCAACAGGCAAAGTTCTTTCATTGCCTCTATTTCAGTTCCCCGTTACTAAACAGACATTAAAAGTAACATTCTAAAAGGGCTTCCTCAGCTTTACTCCGCTTTTAACTAAAAGTAAAACAATAGCTCATTCAGCTTGTAAACTAATCCTGGTGTTTTAATCTACCAGACTGGGTTGTATTTAATCCAGTATTGTTAGGGTACAGTCTTCCTAGATGTCTGAGTAGCTGTCAGCTGCTTTCAAACCATTAAAACTTGTTCCTACCGATAGTGTCTCAGTTTTCAGGTTAATAACCAGGACATCACAGAGCAGCTCTCTGTCCTTCTGGGTCGCCTGACAGAGGCCAGCATGATGAAGTGACTAATATTAGAATGACAGCGTCTGTGGAAACTATTTCTCTAATCAGATTTATATATAAAATCTTACATCACCATTCATAGATAAGAAATGAATGAGATTTGCTTAAGGTAAGCTAGGCAGATATAGAAAAGTATAAAGTAAGCTAAGAGGTTTGGTGTCCTATAAATAAATATCAGTGATATGGTTGGGTTGTGCATCGCAGTGTGGTAACCAAGGAAGTGGACTGACAGGCTCTCACGCCAGATAAGTGCATCCATTCACGGTCTAGTTCCACCTCACCTGTCTCCATTTTAGTCACCTGCTTCCAACAGTCCTCCAGGGAGCTGCAGAGCACTCTGCAGCTCCAGAAAACATCACTCAGATCCAAACAGCTCAAACATTTTCTCTATTTTTATGCAGCAAAGGGAGATTATTGTTTAAAAAGGAGAGCAGGATTATAAATGGACTTCTTCTTTTTAAAATATATTTACGTACTGCTAATATTTATCCATACTGTAGTGAAGTCATTTTTTTATTTCCCTTTTGAGCCAAGGTTCTTCTACAGCTTTGGGAACCATTGACTATGAGCTTCCCAGCATCAGGTCCAGAGACGCTGTCACTGTAATCCTGAGTGACTGAAG